ATGTCAAGAATGTCACAGTTGCCCCCAGGACTATCACCCCTTGAGAAACCTGATGATATCTAGGGTGGCCATATCCTAGACCAGACCAATGATAGGGCTCTGGGCCTAATCACAAAAGCCCAAACCCAAGTTGATGAACAGCCCCAAATTCTGAGCAAAATACCATCTTCTCTCTTCCCCCTTAGAACTGCTTTAAAAAGAGGCTGCCCTAGACCACCTGAATGCCATTTTGACCTCTGCTCCTGATCACTTGGAGTCCCTCTCAGACCATGCAATGAAGGCCTGTTTGTTTCTTGGGACCAGTTTCTTTCTCTTTTACTCCCTCAACTATATTTCTATCTAACAAAGCCAAAAACCAAAATAATAAGTTAAGAAAATAATTTTAGTATCTATTTCCTTGTTTGCTTATCTTCAAACTGAGGGCTCTTAGTATGATGTGGAGCAGATTACAGATGAAACTTTTCTTTCTTCCTTGTCCAAATGGTCCCTTTCCTTCCTTATTTTTTTTTATTTTGATACTTCTTATGAAAAATATGCTCAATTTTTAAAAATTATGCTAAGGAGCTTGTTGTTTTGTACTACCAAGTAGGAACCAACCCTTAGCTGACCCTCCAGTGGGTTTTCAGAGGCAGTTAATCTCCCATTATTCTCCCTCAGAGTGGCTGGTAGATTTGAACCCATGCCTTTGGAATTGCAGCTTGGCTTCTTGCCACGAGGCCATAATTTTGCCAAAGCTCAGTGATTTGAACTCACCAGTTGCTCTTTGAGACTGGGAGAGGTAGAATAGCATTAACTGCTTCAGTAAAGATCTGCAGCCTTGAAAATCCTTTGTTGAGTCAAGATGCTTTCTTGTGTTCTGAATAGTTCTGAACTCTGCCCTATTTTGAGCCAATTTCATCATCTACCCTCATTACCCCAATCCATGTGTCAATCCATCTCATCCGGGGTCTTCACCTCTTGTGCTATCCCTTCACCCTTCCAAGGATGATGTCCCTCTCCAAGGACTGGACCTTCTTTGCAACAAGCCCACAGTACATCAGATGGAACTTCAAAATCCTAGCCTCCAAGGAGGAGCGTAGTTTCACCTTCTCTAGAAGGGGCAAGTTTACTGTTCTACACGGTCTCTCTAAGTTGGCACCTGGCAATGGGCTCTATATTTTTTAAATTATTTGTCTTGATTCTTTCCCACCTTAATGAGGGCAGATTTTTCTCCTTTTTCTTTCATTATTCCATTTCCAGATACTAAGTATCTGGTAAACAATAGGAGCCTAATAATAAATCTTTGTTGAAACACTAAATGAATGAATGACTAAAACCAGATTAAAGTAGAATTCATCAAGAGAGTTAAAAATTTACAGAAGTGCTTGTTAATTTCAGAATATGAAAGTGGTGTTTTGTTTTTGTTTTTGTTTTTTTTACGATATCAAGCAAGGGAAACAAACAAAAACACAACAGATGTTAAGAGACAAAAAACTAACAGCACAGCCATGGAAAAGGAAAGGACAGATACAAGACAGGGGCAAAGGCAGAGTTTAACAACCAGCTCCACACACAATGAGATTCAAAGCCAGTGTGTTCCCAGTGTAATCGCCCTGATAAATGGCAGATCTTTAATCTTTTAATGGAGGTAATTCAGGGGAAATTTGCTGGAGAATTTCGTGAGAAAATAATGCGGTTGGTTTTCACTTCAGGTACTGGTCAAAGTGCCCTCCTCAACCAGGCATTCGAAATTGTGTGACAGGGACTCAGGAAGAGGTCAGAGCTAGTGACTTTTTTTTGGAACAGCTGGGCATTGATCTGACTTTCAGAGTTATTTAAAAAGATAGGATTGTCAAGTGGAAAGGTCTTCAGAAAGAACTTTGGGGAATGCATATGCAAAATATGCAAAGGGAAAGAAGAGATATCAGTATAAAATACAGATAAGGAGGCCATAAATGTAGAACTTCACGGTTAAAGTAAGGGGAGAGAAAACTTCAAAATGAAAAAGTAATCAATACCATCCATGCATTAATATTACAGAGACTTAAGCAGGAAAAGGATGGGGAAGCGTTGTTTTTTTGAGAGGATGAACTCTTAGTATAAAAGCAAAGACCAAAGCAGAGCACAAAGGTGCAGGGCCTAGGAAACCAGAGGCTATGACTATGATGAAAGGAAAAGAGACATTAATAAAATAAAAGAAAGCTACTTTTTTTAATAGAAGAGATCTTAACACATCAAAGAACCAGGAAGGAGAAAAGAGGCAAAAGATATATCCAGGAAGAGAAAGTAAATAGACT